GAGCCGCCGGCTTGACTAATGTTATGAGCATTATTTATATTACGTAGTTTAGTGATACCTAAACATTAGATTACTTCGTGAAAAATGACATTTTAATTGAGGCAGTTACCCACCGAAGATAATGGGATAATGGATTGGTTGAAGCTAGACATTAAAACTTCTGGATACCGACTAAGTGGTCTAGAGGATAAGCTTTCGCGTGAGAGATCGAAGATTCTGGGTTCTAGTCCGACATGAGGGATCATGAGTGCACACTGCTGAGTCGTTCCGTAATACTTTGAAGCGGACATCTAGCGCTTCTATGTTTTTAGTAGCGATCTAACATTGATCGGATCATGGTCTCAATTAAAATTCAACAATTCATACAACTCTTTACTGAACATTCAATAATCACCGGTCGCTTACGCAATAAATAATCTGTTTCTTGCTAAAATAAACTCTGCTTTTGATTAATCGCCGAATGCAGGTTTACTTAATATTTAACTCACGGGTAATCTTTAAAAAGACACCAGCATACAGTCAGTAAAAGGTTAGGGCCTATATATTGCTGGCATAAATACCAACAATTTCAGTCATATAGGGGAGCATTTCATCAAGTCTTAATATCTAGCAAAAACAAGAATAAAAATCAATTGCAGTAGTTCCTACTGTAACACAACATTAAAAGATCCCTTAGTCAATAAATCCAACTCCGCCTGTAGCTCTTATAGGGTTACTGCCGGTCCCAAGCCCGGGTAAAGGAGGAAGGTTGGGCATGGAGTTAGCGACCTCATCCCGTAGAAAACTAACTCGCTAAAAAAACGCTTACCAGAAAAAATAATCCAAACCATTTTAACTCTGCCCTGGGAGTTAGAAGGTCTTCATTTAGAAGAATTATGACGCTTCATGGTGAAAGCCGAGCTCCTTCGGAAGCCACGAGGCCGATGCCCCTTCTAACAACCAGAGCAAAAATTTTTATAGGTACATGGAACGACCGGACAATGTGGGAGACCGTGAAGACCAGCCAAATAGCAACGGAAATGAGGAGATACAACTTGGCAGTACTGGGAATCAGCGAAACCATTGGACCCAATCTGGGCAGAAAAGGCTAGATACGGGAGAGATGCTGCTATACTCCGGTCATGTAGAGGACAATGCTCCATACGCTCAGAGAGTCGCTCTAATGCTGTCCAAAGTAGCACGAAATGCACTTGTGGGATGGGAATCTCACGAATCCAGAATCATCAAAGCATCATTCAAAACAAAGAAGGAGGGTATCTTAATGAACATTATCCAATGTTATGCACCCACCAATGATAGCAACGACGACATTAAAGATCAGTTCTACGAGCGGCTACAGTCAATCATTGAGAAATGCCCAAGGAAGGACCTAACTATTCTGATGGGAGATCTAAATGCCAAAGTCGGAATAGACAACACTGGACATGAAGATATTATGGGACGACATGGACTGGGAGAAAGAAACGAAAATGGAGAAAGATTTGCAAATCTATGTGCATTCAACAAATTGGTCATAGGAGGCACAATATTTCCACACAAGCATATACACAAGGCTACATGGATCTCACCGGACCACACTACAGAGAACCAAATAGATCATATTTGCATCAACAAAATATTCCGAAGGACAATGGAAGATGTGAGAACCAGAAGAGGAGCTGATGTAGCTTCAGATTACCACCTAGTTGTAGCCAATTTAAAACTGAAGCTAAAAATGAACTGGACAACTGGACAAACAGCACTACAAAGGTTCAATACAGCCTTCCTTCGAGATACTGAAAAACTCAATGAATTCAAGATAGCTCTCAACAACAGGTTCCAAGCCTTACAAGATCTACTGAAAGAAGAAGAGACTAGCATGGAGGACAACTGGAAAGATATCAAAGAAGGACTAACTTCAGCGTGTCAAGAGGTTCTGGGTCTTAAGAAGCACCATCATAAGGAATGGATTTCTACAGAAACACTGGACAAGATCAAAGAAAGGAAGAACAAGAAGACAGCAATAAACAACAGCCGAACACAAACAGAGAAAATCTAAGCACAAGCTGAATACATAGAAGCAAACAAACAAGTGAAGAGGAGCATTAGAGCCGACAAGAAGAAATACGTGGAAGAACTAGCAACGATGGAGGAAGAAGCTGCGAGAGAAGGAAACATGAAACAGCTTTACAATACAACGAAGCAACTAGCTGGGAGATATAGTAAACCAGAGAGACCGGTCAAAGACAAAGAAGGCAGGCCAATCACTGAAATTCAAGGACAGAGGAGAAGATAGGTGGAATACTTTGAGGAACTCTTAAATAGACCAACTCCAATGAATTTCTCAGATATCGAAGCAACACATACAGACCTTCCCATAGATGTCAACCCACCAACGACGGAAAAAATTAGAATGGCCGTCAGACAAATCAAGAACGGGAAAGCAGCAGAACCCGACAACATAACAGCTGAAGCACTGAAATCAGACATCGAAGCAACCACAAGTACGCTTTATCTTCTATTCAAAAAGATTTGGGAGGAGGAACAAGTGCCGATGGACTGGAAAGAAGGACACCTCGTCAAGATTCCAAAGAAAGGAGATCTGAGCAAATGTGAAAACTACAGAGGCATTACACTACTGTCAATACCAGGGAAAGTCTTCAACAGAGTGTTGCTGAGCCGGATGAAGGATGCAGTAAACGCTCAACTTCGGGATCAACAAGCTGGATTCCGTAAGGATCGGTCGTGCACAGACCAAATTGCAACACTACGGATCATCGTCGAACAATCAGTTGAGTGGAACTCATCACTATACATCAACTTCATTGATTATGAAAAGGCAGTCGACAGTGTAGACAGGAGGACATTATGGAAACTTCTTTGACACTACGGAGTTCCTGAGAAGATTGTTAATATTATCCGGAACTCATACGACGGACTACAGTGCAAAGTAGTGCATGGAGGACAGCTGACAGATGCATTCCAAGTAAGGACCTGAGTCAGACAAGGCTGTTTACTCTCTCCCTTACTCTTTCTTCTGGTGGTTTATGAAGACCTCGACATCTGAGGAAAAACACACAATACAATGGACAGCTCAGAATCAATTAGACGATTCGGACTTCGCAGATGACCTGGCACTCCTATCGCATACACACGAGCAAATGCAGATATAGACAGCCAGTGTAGCATCAGTCTCTGCATCAGTAGGCCTCAACATACATAAGGGGAAAACCAAGGTCCTCAAATTCAACACGGAGAACACCAATCCAATCACTCTTGATGGCGAAACTTTGGAAGATGTAGAGTCCTTCACGTACCTAGTAATCTTCATCGATTAACAAGGAGGTTCAGATGCAGACGTAAAGACGAGGATCGGCAAAGTAAGGGTCGCATTCCTACAATTGAAGAATATATGGAACTCAAAACAACTTTCAACCAATATCAAAGTGAGAATCTTCAATACGAACGTCAAGGCAGTTCTACTGTACGCAGCTGAAACTTGGAGAACTACAACAAGCACCATCAACAAGATACAAGTATTTATAAATGGTTGTCTGCGCAAGATACTCAACATCCATTGGCCGGATACCATCAACACCAGCTTTTTGTGGAAGAGAATAAACCAGCTTCCAGCTGAAGAAGAAATTAGGAAAAGACGATGGAAATGGATAGGACATACATTACGCAAATCATCAAACTGCATCACGAGGCAAGCGCTAACTTGGAATCCTGAGGGGAAGCGAAAAAGAGGAAGGCCTATGAACACATTGCGTCGGATAATAGAAGCAGATATGAAAACGATGAATTACAACTGGACGGAGCTAGAAAGGATTGCTCAGGACAGGGTTGGATGGAAAACGCTGGTGAGCGACCTATGCTCCTTCACGAGGAGTAACAGGCGTAAGTAAGTAAATAAGTAGTCAATAAATCCAGACACTTAACTTGGATAGGAAAACTCGATAATCAGAAGATACTAGTTAGTATACACACAATTTAGAGTCGGTTATTATTACAAGTTTAATTGTTCTAATAAGAAGTTACCCCGAAAATTTTGAAAACGTAAACTGTCACAAACAATCTGCAGATATTTACTGTTAAATGTTCAGCAAAAAATCTTCAGTTTCTAATATTTTAGCTATGATTTACTACTTTTATCCATCCTATCAGTTAATTATTCTTGGAAGTACAATGGAGAAAACATCTGAATGGGAATAGGTTTCGTACACTTTGACACTCATTAATAATATGTACTTATGCTATTGACGGAATAGATGTTGCCTAAGAGATTCTCAGTCACATTCGGTTGGGTTATTTATGAGATGTGGCTGATGATATTTATACGAACTGATTAATAGGTGATAATTAGTATCATGATGTTTAAGCTTTAATGGTGATAGAATTTAATCGATCAAGTTGAGTATAATCACAAGTTTAGGTGACTCAATATCGTGATTTACTATGTTTCGATGTTAGATTGTTGGAGGACATAGAAATGAAGCTTTAAACATAGGTTACCTACTGGTATGTACTCATCAGGAAAATCGATAACTTTCCATGAATTAAAACTCACCTTATCTAATGCCAAAATCGTACCTCGTGCCATTGAAGTAAACAGCTTTATTTATCTGTACAGCGTTAGCTTTAGTTGAAAGAACGTGGCATCATCAATAATATTTGATACAAAACCTTAGGATAACTCATAATAACTTCAGTATAACTGAGCTTTTGGGGTCCGATTATGATCGATTATGAAGTATTATATTTTATTTATTGGTTATCTATTTTAAATGAACCCAGAGATTTGATTAGTATCAAATATCGGTGAATTATTATGTTCGAGTTATTAGCATGGTTTCCATTGTAAACATTAAAATAATGTAATCCAAGTTTGTAAATTATACAAACAATTAGAACTGAGCTACTATTTTTTTTGTTAGTAAAACCTACTATATGATAACCATTAGATAAATGAAGTGACCGTCGAAAAATATAAAAAAATGAAGTAAATGAACAGAACTTACACTTTTCTGACATTTTTTCATATGAACCTTGATAGTTTGTTAATAAACCTGAAAAATGATGTTCGTAGTTCCCACCATATGAGTTATCTGGAGTGAAAAACAGATTATACAATTTCATTTGGCGATTATGATAATCTGATGTTTATTACTACTATTTACATAAACAGATATTCCTTGATTATTGACTGAAATAGCGAGTGATTGATGAAATTTTAATACAAGTTCGTAATAACTGGAGTTAAATAGTACTGGGAGTCGAGTAGGTATTACTGATCGAACTGGGTTTTAGTCTTGCGTTGTCACAAACTTGCAGAAGTTAAAAGTGTGAACCATTGTATTCAGACATAGTGATTTGAAAGTCTCCAGCTTGCAACACTACTAGAAAGTTCTGCAACCGGTCTTTTGTTGATCCCTTAATTAATATCAATTGTTTCATAGTTAAAGGAAGAAATCTAAACAATTTGTGGAGCAGTAGCTATGTGGAGGCTATCCTCATGAGATACGCTATACTAGCGAAGACTGATCAATATTTAGTCAGGAATATCAGCAACGGGAAAGCTAAAACATTTAACGGTGATGATATTAACGTCATACCCCTTTGTGTAGATTAGTGAGTAACTGGACTCAGCAACTTAGTGGACAATGCGTTGAGAGTTAGAGGATAGAATTCGGGATTTGATTCCCGGTGTGGACATCAATCCTGTGATGTAAATAAATTCAGCCAACTAGTTACGAAAAAGACTAACCACGACTCCTGGATTTCATTACTAGCTATACCAATCAATTCTAAATCCAGCTTACAAATGCTTTTTTGGACAACTGAGTTCAATATTGCTCAATTAGTTTTAATCATAATTCAAATGTATAAAATAAAATCACATTGCGTAGTCAAAAACTGCCGTTAAAAAAACTAGGCAAAATAACTCAGGGGTATTAGGAATGTAGCATTGAAAACAGCAAAACACAGTGAAACAACATACACTATAGCAGAAGTGAACGTACTGTTAGAATACATTTTAATATTTGAAGTCATCAAATACTCGCCTAGTGACGGGACGGCTTGATACCTTCCATGAAATATGAGGTTTCAGAATGTGATCTTAAATGGATAATTCTTATGAATTTTGAATTTGAATAGACCAGTTTACGTGAACCTCTTAATTTAATGGTAGCGAAACTCAAACCCTTTTATTACATCAATTGTTTAATTTCGAAATTTTTAATCCTAATAACCTTATTGAATATAATTGGTCCAGTCTAAAGTTAAAGACATTCTTATTATTTTTATTCATTTAATATCCAAATATTTCTAACATCAGTCAAACAACAAATATTTAAGTAGTATAGACTGTATCAGAAGGGGTTTTGTGGAGATTTTAGAAATTTCAATAGTTGAAGTCATAAGTCAAATGAAGCTTCTTAATAAAATGGTTTGGTGAAGGCTTAATTCACTCTAAAGATGATTCACATCATGAACTAACAGGAACTACTAAACAATTGAAAAGTGGAAAATCGTTGATGATATATATATATATCATAGCTATCCACATATATGAATATTAAACTTGTTTCTACACTTAACATCTTGAAATGTTTATTGTCTAATTTGTAAGTCAATAAGAATATATTTCCCGGATTCGAATTTTTTCTCAGTACCTCCTGGAATGTAACTGATTTAGGTAGTCTAGAATCTTTAACTTCAAATCGTTGTTATACATTGATTCAGTAGATAATTATAAAATTTGTTTTACAAATTCAATCAAGTGATATTTGATGTCAGTAACTAACTAACTCTTTGTTTTAAGGAAAGCACTTCTGTTATCTAAAATAACTCTATTTATTTTCATGTATGTAAGATTTGTGTGAATAAAACTTAGCTTCTTTTTAGAATTTCTTTTAATGAAACTATATATATATATATGTAAAATAGAAGTGTATTAGTAACCTTGGCATTCCGAACATTGTGAGACTATAATTTATGGACGACCTTTGAGAGATGCCCAAGTGACCTTGAGGAATGTCTACTTACTAACTAGGACTTAATAAGGGTTATGAACCAGTACGAAGAAGTAGAATTCGAATTTGCAGTTGATGGTTAAGGTTAAAAATTAGATCTAGGATATTCATCACAAACTGACATAAGCTAAAATACCAAAATGCTATTAGACAAATGGATTGATGAATTTCGCGCCAAAATTCAAGACCTATTATCTTATATCTGATTGGTTCGTCCATAAATCGTAGTCTCGCTGACGTTATTTTGCAAAAATCAAGTCTCATAACTTAGAGATTACAGATGAAGTAGAATAGTAGTAAGATGTTTATAAAGTAATTGTTATGGAGTATAAATTGAATGATAATTTGTTTGTGCACGTGAATCAGAATGACTCTAAAGAACATTTGGCAAATTTTACTTGAAAAGAATTATGAAGTTTTTTTACCAAATATTTCACTACATTTACCTTTAAAGTAACCAAAACGTGGTATAAATTATGACTGTTTTGAATGATTTTGTAGATCTGTAGTGGCATTAGATCCTAATCACAATCCTCAGAGCTGAACATGAGATAACTGGGAAAATAGACTTTTAACATTTAACACTAAGAGAAGGTCAATAATAGTGAACGAGGTAACATTCATTCGGAATTAAATTCATCGGGTGGCATAGCTCAGCCTCGCAGGCGTGGTCATCCTCTATGACTTAATTTTATTCATATTAACTATATTGTTTTATCTCCAACCTAAATGTGTTCTCTATCATATGTTGGTGATTATTACGATACGACGAGTCGGCATATAAAATGATGTGACTTCCACGTAAGATCTTACAGATTAGGCAGTCCCATCAATAACAAGCCTACAATTTTAGGAGTAGATCTAATAACGAAGTAGACTATAATTCTACAGATCCTCTAAAACTTTATTATTATTCACTGACCTATGGATAAAGCTTATATGATGTATGATAAATACTTTGTAATCTAATTTTTTAAAAATGAATATTCACATTTTTTCAGAGAGATCAGGAAGTTATGAAGTCCTTCAGTTTAAATTTATAGATTCAATTTTTTGTCTTTCATCGTTCTACAATGCTACCTGATAGTTTGAAATGAAGCAAATGCAAATACATTTATGAAATTATAAGTGATGATTGTTTGACTGTAAAACTAAAGCAATATTATATATAATACATAGGATAAGTGATTTAGTCAGTGACTTAATATGTGATGGGTATATCTCAAATTATATTCAATATTACGTGGTTGGAGGTAGTTGAATTAGAAGTTCCGAATACATTTTTCACATTAGTTGGCTTGCATTGGCTAGTAATCTGGGTTAAACAAGTGCTATCCATGGAATTCAAGCTTATCTCAAAGAACGTCATAACAAAAGACATTATCACTGTTTTATTTAGATTGCACCTGATTGCCTTTTGGAATCGTCCATAATTATTGCGTATATTATCCACTAAATAATCTATTTTTAGTAACTAACTTCAATATTTGTCAAAAAAAGACAGAAACTAGTATAATTAAATAACCGATTGCGTTTAGATACGACCTAAAACCCATAGTTTTACAACCGAATAATATATATCTGTAATATATTGTCAGTATCTGCTTATAATTACGAAAGTTACTAACAGTAATAGCACGTTTATGATACAAACCGTTTCCTGAAGCTGATTTAATTACGAGATATTTTAAATGTGGGTTTACATCCGGAATGGATTATGTTTTCAATAAAAAAAGTGAAAATTACTAGTTACACTCTCCAGTTATAAAAATGTTACAAATAACGGAAACTGCAAACAACATCTCTTAAATAAACATGTAATGTGGCTTAGTAATAAAGCATCTGTATCACAACTATTAAATCAAAGGACTGAATTCTCTTCCATTTTACTTCAAACTAACAATTCTTAACATTCGTCTCAATAACAAACATGTTATTAACATGAGAATATGTATTCTGAGATTAACTAATGAGGTGCACTTAATTAAAGTAGAAAATGTAAGTCATATATAGTTCAGATTTACTTACCCCATGTTGTTGATGGAGATGAGTAAGTTCCTGGAATAAAATAGTTCAAATAAATCATCATTTTAATTAATTTAAATTGGTTTGAATATTTTTTGTACTTTATTTGAAAATGTTCATTGTATATTCAGTAAATCACATTAATAAAACACATTCTCATCGTTTAATGATCCCCATCATATTAAAAGACTAATATTTGAACGAATAATATTCTTTTCGATAAGTTCGCTTCAGGTTCTACAATTATACATCCAAATTAGTAATCCGAAAAATGGCCAGATTAAAGGCAAATTACATCGTTTAAAGCATGCTTTATTCTTTGTTCAAAACACATTCTCCTATGAATTGGTATTAAGAACCGATGTTATGTTTTTATAGTAATATTTTCTTGAGATTTCTTGAATTTCATACATTATGGTTTCAGTAAATCTTTCTTTAACTACTTTATTTTGAAAACATGGTTTTGTTTTTCGTTTGAATTATCTCGACGGTAGGTCGTCACTAAAGCTTGAAAATTTCAGTCTAGTAATAGTTGTTATAGAATATCAGCTAAGCAAATATATGCTATGGAGTTACAATTCAATCAGTAATATCATCTCAATTCAATATTTGACAAGTTAACACCTAATAGCTTCTTTAATTACTCTTTGTTCTTAATTACAAGTCATTCTAACATTTTCTGCAACGTTTTAGGTGCAAAAAATGTTTTTATATATTTTTAACTACGAAGATGAGGTACTTTTTAATTCAGATAAGTAATTCTCCTGAAACGGCTGCTTACTCTTCCTCATTCTCTTTCTTCTGGTGGTTGACTGGATTATGAAGACCTGAAAATCTGAGATGAAGCACCGAATACAATGAACAGCTTGTATGCAACTAGACGATTATTACTTCGCAGATCACATAGCTCTTTTATACCATACACACAAACAAATGTAAATGAAGACAACCAGTCCAACAGTAGCAGCCTTCACATCAAAACGCCTCAACATACACAAGAGAAAAGCCAACATAATCAAATACAACACGGAGAACACCAACTCAATCACACATGATAGAGGAACTTTGGAACAGATGGAAACTTTCGCATACCTGTTTGGACAGTATCATCAATGAACAAGGAGGATTCGATTCAGACGTGAACGTAAGGATTGGTAAAGCGACAATAGCATTCCTACAGTTGAAAAACGTATGGAACCCAAAACAACTGTCTGTCAGTCAACATCAAAGTCCGAATCTTCAACATGAACGTCAAGACAGTTCTATTGTATGGAGCTGAAACTTAGAGAACTACTACAACCACCATCAAATAAGTACAGGTATTTATAAACAATTGTCCACACAAGATACCGAATGTCCGTGGACCGGATGCCATCAACAACAACCTACTGTGAGAGAGAACAAACCGGCTTCGAGCTGAAGAGGAAGATAGGAAAAGCCGTTGGAAGTGGATAGGACATACATTGTGGAAAACACCAGACTGAGTCACGAGGTATTAACGAGGTGTTAACTTAGTATCCTGAAGGGAAGTGGAAAAGAGGGAGGGCAAAGAACGCACTGCATCGGGAATGGGAAGCAGATATGAAAATGGTAAATAGTAACAGGAAAGGATTGGCTAGAACATGGTTCGATAGAGAATCCTGTTGAGCGGCATACGCTCCTCCGCGACGGGTAACAGGTGTAAGTTAGTAATTCTAGATAAGAGTTCTTACAGTATTAGTTCGTAGGAACAGTAGCAACACAATTTCGACGATGGATCTATTTTCTCTTTGAAGATTATGAGGTTGTGGTTTTCTGTTATCCCAAACTCTTTCATAAATTCATGTTTTCTCTGTAGACAAACTAATGAAAATTTAAAATTCACTTATAATGTATTTTTCTTCAACATTTCTTTGATTATGAATATAAATGGTAAAAATGTTTGCATACCACTGAATTTATTTTTAATCCCTCCCCCTCATTTAGTTCTTCACATTCACACCGGTATTCACATAAATGTCAAACCGGAAGCATTAGTTTACATATAGACTATTCACATTTATACAATAACTATGATAATTCATGAAAATGATTGTCACAATACAAACTTCATGATTAAATAACAATAATAGACGTTGTTATCAAAATTAATTATCTCATAGCCTTTGTTTTCTATGCATTTTTAATTGAAATTAAACCTCTAGACAAACAAATAATGGCGGTCAATAGACAGTAAACATAAACTGTACTTTAATGTATTCTACTTGATAACTGAGGAAGTAGGTCGACATACAATGTAATACGATGAAACAATCTAACATCAGTATAGGCTAGATATAACTGGAAGGGAGTTTTCTAAAGAGTTTATGCAATAGTTGAACTAAGTAATTTTTTACATTAAGATAGATACAACTAATATTCAAATTAATGTAAGATTACACTCAGCACAGTAGACATTTTACTCAAATCCTTAATAGTTGAGACATTTTCTATGTTGGTTTAACACAATCAGCTTATTAGGGAAACTTTGCTAGAATTCATATATTTTAGTATGGAAAGATAACGATTTTAAATTAAATATAATAATCCAGTCAGAAAAATAGAACGTACTGACTGTAGTATAAGATCTTAGGATTAATTTAATATCGCCGTATTCATCGCTATTATAAAAATAAACTATATATTGTAATAATAAAAAGTAAATGATGTCAAACTTCTATGGACTAGCAAATTATAACAGTTCATCACCCGTGTTTGTTCATTAAATTGAAGTTTGTATTATAAACAAACATAAAGGATTGAAAGTATTAGACTTTACCGTCTACTAATTATGATAAAATGTATATATTTATTAACAATAATGAAATAATACTCATCGAGTGGATATGTTACGTAATAATTACATAATGACATTTCAATTATAAATTAAAATTGAGTAATTGGAAGAAAGAAGATTAATAATAATCCAAGAAATTATTCGAAATTCAAGAAGTTGCTACGTTGCATAACATATGAAAAAGAGAAGGAACAGAATATTTTTTGATGAGTGGTCAGTAGAATTGTAGTTATGTAAGAATCAAGAGATGAATGTTGAGAATAAGTAAAACACAAAGTTAAAAAAACAAAAATGGAAGCACGAAAATAGTTTATCAATGTTCTGCTACAAACGACCCTATACCGATGGCCGAGGTAGCGTAAGTGGTTTTACAAACTTATTTTGGATGCAAAGTTTAGGTTTGTGAACATGGATTACAATGGCTTCAACCATCGGTATAGGGGCGTTTGTAGAAGAACATTGATAAACTACTTTCGTACTTCTTCCATTTTTATTTTTATTTTTTTGTTTTTTGGACTTAGTGTTTTACTTGTTGATTGAAAGTTGTTTTTAGTTCCATATGTTCTTCAACTGTAGGAATGCGGCCCTTGCTTTACCAATCCTTGCCTTTACGTCTGCATCTGAACCTCCTTGTTCATCGATGATGCTTCCTAGGTACGTGAAAGATTCCACACCTTCCAGAGTTTCGCCATCAAGAGTGATTGGATTGGTGTTCTCCGTGTTGAATTTGAGGACCTTGGTTTTCCCCTTGTGTATGTTGAGGCCTACTGATGCAGAGACTGCTGCTACACTGGCTGTCTTTGTCTGCATTTGTTCATGTGTATTCGATGGAAGGGCTAGGTCATCTGAGAATTCCAAATCGTTTCGAAAGCCGAGTTCTTGATTCTTGCATAACTACAATTCTACTGACCACTCATCAAAAAATATTCTGTTCCTTCTCTTTTTCATATGTTAAGCAACGTAGCAACTTCTTGAATTTCGAATAATTACTTGGATTATTATTAATCCTCTTTCTTCCAATTACTCAATGTTAACATATTTATTTGCAGATTGAGTAGTATGCTAGATAAACTGGATTGACAACTTGAACTAATAATAGGTCAAACAGTAAACATGACATCTATCTAAAATACAACAAGCATGTGGGGGTTATATTAATTAAGGTAGTTCTATAGAGAATTTTGTTAATTTCGAAGTTCATTTTGATCACGAGGTAACATCATATGAAACTGCTAAGACAACTATATTGCCATGGATAACATTTCTATTCTGTTAACATTATGAGTTCTTGGACAGTGTTGAGTTTTATAGTCTACATTAGGGTCTGACCTTAGCCAAATAGCATTTGAAAACCATGAAAAGCTGGACAGTTGATTCACCCTAGTAAGGAACTTCTCAGAAGTGAGGGTATTAATTAAAGTTATCAGTGCAAACCATTAGATACCAACTCATCGGTCTAAAAGTAAAGCACTCACAGAGAGACCTGAGAGTCTTGAGGTAGACCCTTTGTATGGTCGTGAGTTAGAGCTGCTGAGTCCTATATTAGGAGGAAATAGTCGTTCAGTTTGTTTTGGTTTCTACTGGTTGCTTAGTTCAGGTTAATAGGTTAGAGCTTGTTGTAACCTGTGAATTTACCTACACAGAATTGTCTGAAAACTATTTACATGTTTGTAAGTGGTTTAATTTGTAGAAGTAGGTAAAATTAAAGAAGTTAATAGATGAAAGTCTGATCAATTAGTGCTTACGGATTCTAGACCCGATCCAGATCAAGATATACTAATTTGTTTACTCAAAATGGTATAGATGTAATTGTTCATTGAAGCTACTTTCCGCTAAATGTTATTGTTTTTATTCCATGTAGAAATTAGATATAGCTTTGACTTCATTCTTAACTGACACTCTATCTATTGTGAAGATATGGCTCAAACAAATTTCGAAATTTCACAAATAATCCCAGATAAAAGTGATTAATCTATTGGTCTTAAAACTTTGAGTGATGTTATTCAATCACCTCGTCAAGCACTTAAACTCGTTTTTATCATTCTCGAAGTAAGCCGCTTAAAACTTCTATGTTAAAATCAGATTTATTGTATATACTCACTTAGGGGTATTAATTAACCTTTACATAGTTTCTGTAGAACAACTTACAAACTTAACTATTCGATAATTTTTCCACCAGTTTTGTCACTCGTCATTGATTTATTATCCTAAGTGACACAATCATATCTTATGTTGAACTACCATCTATAATAAGTTTTTAACCATCTTCTGGGATTTTGGCAAACTCATTTTCATAATCGAGAAATGAAATAATTTAGGAATGGAGAGTTTTGGAGATTATAGTAATTTTAACAGCTCAATCCATAAGCCTATCAAAGTTAGACCACCATCATGAATCGATTGAAGTTAAATATTAACACCGTTGGATGTCGGCTCACTGGCCTAGAGGTTAGGCGTTCGCACGCAAGACCGAAGTTAATGGGTTTAAGTCCCACGTGAGGGGTTTCGGATGCGCACCAGCTAAAAGTCTGATACTAGGACGAAAGAGTCGTCCAGTACTTCCAGGTTTTCAATGGTAGTTTAGCTTAGATCGACCTACCAACTTAACTATTGGAAATATTTAACTTTGGTTATATCCCTCAGGAATGCTTAGGTGCTAAGAAATTTTTAATTTGCATATTTAAAATAATATGACTGATAAAAGGTTAAAAAATAAACTGAATAATTGAAAACTTACTAAATATTTCTGTACTATTGCGAAATGTACCAAACGGTGTTTCAACTACACATGTATAATAACCATAATTAGCCATAGTTAAATTAGCTATAAACAAAGTTGTTCTGATTATTCCATGTTTAGAATTTGCTTTGTCTTACAACAAACAAGAAAGAAATGAGTGAAAGCAAAATCATAAAATAGATATGGACTTATTATTATTATTATTATTATTCTGACTACAAGTAACATTGTTATATGGTTTGTCTTTGTTGCATCGGGGTGAGGAAAAAAATTAGCAGACTATAAATTTAGATATAAGCATAAACACAAGAATCCAGGCAAACAGAACTGACGACTTCTAAATGTGAATTCAAGGAAGCTCTAAGACGCTCACAAAGAGCCGAAGAAATTTCATTCAATCATCTTTTGGAAGAACATTCCAGAATCTTGACGTGTAGCCTCTCGATTGAACAAATGCTAAAAACCACTGCACGCGAATTAGATGACTGTAATGATGATTTTCTTTTTACTAAAATCTATAAATACCTGAGAATTTCGCACCATATTTGACACTTTGGAATAACATTTCTTCTCACTCGCAACTTCGGAGGGTTCTAGCGTTGGAGTGCTCAAGTAGTACGCGGCATAGCAAGAAACTAAGCTCTAGGTAGAACACTTAACACCAGAGAGTCTCCCGGAAAATGAATCTTATAATTTAAGATGCCTATTGTAATCTGAATGATATCAGAATGCATATAGAAATAATCCATAGTCACTTGCATGAAATGATTGATCAGTCGGTTAAAAATAGCACTAAAGGATAAAGCAGTTACAACCAGGTATATCTGTTTTTTATGTTTTATAATTGAGTAAAAAGTATTGGGTTAGACAGTGCCAACGGGTTATTTAACCTTCAACATTGTTGCTATGATAGGCTTCACTACATCAGTATATCTATATGATATTCATTGATTAATTTCCATATATTTTTTTAAAAACACACTGTCAACAAAAAGAGTAAGCTTCTAACAGTAGTCTATCAGCAGAAAACTGTGATCTAAGTGATTTTTCTAAATATTAACACTACATATCTTAAAAGATCCAGATTTGATCTCAAAGGTGTATAAAATACTGAAAATTGAAGCTTGTTTGTTAATTGTTAACATAATTACACTTCAGATTCAAAGTGATCATATATTTTTACTTACATTTTGTTATAAAATGTATTCCATAAGGTGAGATATCTTATTTATTACATTTTGTTATTCCTTATAGAATTTCATTTACTCAAACTTGTTAATACTAATTTAATTACTTTTAAATAAGTGGATGAATAAATGAATAATTTCAGTAGTTGAAATCATGAGTCAGTTGAAGCTAGACCACCATGGAAAACCTGGAAGCACAGGACGGCCGTTTCGTTCTAGTATGGGACTCCTTGGCAGTGCGTATCCACGACACCGCCCCACCACGAGATTCGAACTCAGAACCTATCAGTCTCGCGAGCGCTTAACCACTAGACCATTGAGCCGGCCGGCCGGCATCCAACGGTGTCAATGTCTAACTTCATATAATCCACGAAGTTGAGCCACCGTAAACCATTGTCTTCAGTGAGCTGATATCTCACAACAGACCTGGTTGAAGTCTACTGGTAACGGCTTCTAGTAGGAAGCCGCTGAGGCGGGATTGGAGGATGTGCACTGCTGAGGAGTTCCATACTAAGACTAAGCGGCCGTCCAGTGCTTCCAGGTTTCCCATAGTGGTCTAGCTTCAATTGACTCATGATTTTAACTATTGAAATTTCTAAAATCTCCACAAAACTCCTTCTAAAAATGAATAATTATTCATTTTTTCGAGGTTTAATTCATATGGTTTTATTTATTTAAGTCATTTGTAAACATGTAGACAATCGATACTTGAATACATATTTACAAATATAAACAATAGTTGTATACAATTTCATCAAAATTAGGTTAATCTAATAAATAGTTTGTGGAGCATTCTATTAGTTTGTTTATCAATTAACTTGTCTTACTACAATTACTACTACTACTAATATTACTATTACTATTACTAACACTACTACTACTACTATCTATCTATCTATCTATCTATCTATCTATCTATCTATCTATCTATCTATCTATCTATCTATCTATCTATCTATCTATCTATCTATCTATCTATCTATCTATCTATCTATCTATCTATCTATCTATCTATCTATCTATCTATCTATCTATCTATCCACACATCTATCTATCTATCTATCTATCTATCTATCTATCTATCTATCTATCTATCTATCTATCTATCTATCTATCTATCTATCTATCTATCTATCTATCTATCTATCTATCTATCTATCTATCTATCTATCTATCTATCTATCTATCTATCTATCTATCTATCTATCTATCTATCTATCTATCTATCTATCTATCTATCTATCTATCTATCTATCTATCTATCTATCTATCTATTCATCTATCTGTTCATTGAAATCATTTCAATTAATTTCAAATATTGTAATCTTAATTATATTTTTTTAAAAATATGAGAATACATTGAAATAATTAGTTAACAATGAATTTATGAAAAATGTCACTTTATTTTACAATTTTCATTAAGGCTAATGATTATGATCATTATCAATTACTTAATTATAACTTATCGGTTAGTTTTATGTATGTAAAATGTGTAAACTATAGAAATGTATTGCTGAATGTCGATAAGTATATATATATATATATATATATATATATATATATATATATATATATATTATTGGAATACTTCGATTGTGAGTTGAAACGTACATTGGTATGATAAAGGGATTATATCAAATTAAAATAATGATCCGTTTGGTTTTTTCAAAGATTTTATTTGTAAATATCGAGTTTAAATTGTCCAAATATTACTGATTTCAATTTAAATAGTATAAATCAATCAAATTTCACTGATTTATTTGTTAAATATGATTGAACAGTTATTGATTTATAGCATTTTCTCGCCTTCTCTTGCTCTCCCTCTCTCTTTCAGTTCGATTTTAAGCTAGCGTTAACAAGTCATATTGAATCCATAAGAAATTGAAATATATTATTTATGATATCATTAGGAAAAAATATTGGATATTTCAGACTTCGAATAATTTCTCTATTGAATAACTTTCTTGGTGTAGTGTTGTGGTGTGTGCTACTGATATCGATAGATATAAGTAGTATGTATCATCAATCGGAAGTGAAATACCTGGTGGTAGAAGGTTAAGAAGATCAAAGAGAAGAGAACGAGAACGGAAAATGATTGGTATGAAAACGAATGGACAATGAAGTCTGAGACGATTGATTGACGTTTTTAAATGAAGTATTTACTGTATGGTTCTCAGATTTTACTAAGAGAAATTGTATTTTTGTATTCGAATACATTCGATTTCCCCCAGTTGTGTTGTCGTTCACTACAGTATTAATGCCGGAATATTAACACTGCTAATAATCTACTTAAAATTTGTTCTGACTTCCATAAATAAAACTTTTAATTAATCAAGATTCTTACTTCTTACAAAATTTAAACTTGATTATTGACCGCTTTTCTGTTGTCTTTGAATATAATTTTCTGTGAAAGTGTATTTACGAACTAATTGGACATAAAATAGTAACTGTTTTATGTCTAAAGTTATAATAAAACACTATCACTACTAATGTTGACGGTTGAAGTGTAGCGATCAAGAACACAACTGGGGGAAATCGAATTTATTTGAATAAAAAATTACAGAATATCTTAGTAAAATCTGAGAACCATACAGTAAATACTTCATTTAAAAACGTCAATCAATCGTCTCAGACTTCATTGTCCATTCGTTTTCATACCAATCATTCTCCGTTCTCGTTCTCTTCCTTTCGATCTTCTTAACCTTCTACCACTAGGTATTTCACTTCCGATTGATGATACATACTACTTATATCTATCGATATCAGTAGCACACGCTACAGAAGCTTATAAAAACAACAAGCAACTAGTCTTATAAATAGTAAACATATATGCATTCTCTATTTAATTAACAGTTAACTTCAACTATTTATTTAATAAAAGCAAAGTAAGTATGTATTTTCGGCTTCAGATCATGACCACACTTACTCATGAACAACGTTTATTGAACGACTGAATGACTATTGTTCAATCCTCATCAAGTTGAATATTGAATATAACATTGAATTGTCAGTATACATTGCAAATGAAAACGTTATTTAAATAAAAACTTATCACCTATTTTCTTATTCACAAGAGTAAATTATCTGAAATTTGAGTTGATTCTGCAAATAATCTGGTGACACCAGTACTAATGGTCCATGGTTATTTAGTTTTTTTTAAAAACAATCCAGTATATTGCTATATGTATTCACTAGTTAAAACAAACTTGCAAAGAGAAAAAATCCGAATAGTATGTTCTTCATCACCTGTATTGGTTGTTTGAATCATCTCTTTGATTTTTAAGACTGTAATTAACCAACCTCTTATTAGCATATGGCCATCCCGTATGAATTGCTTCGATCAAGTCACAAGCATTATAAACAGAGATGGATAGTGGCTAACAGTGGAATCCATGACGCGCATTTCGTTGTATTTGAAACTCGTCATCTGGATTTACCTAGATCGCACTGTTTATGTTCATCCGAGGAATCGAAATCATATCCCTTTGCTTTAAACATTAACGTGGTATCCATTAAGCTAATAATTCCAGATATCCTTTGGCTTTGCAATGGGGTGTCAACAGTGACTGATCAATCGCTGTCCAAATCATCGGTAGTAAGATTCGAGCAATCAATACAAATGAATTAAACTTCACCTAACTTTAAAATTTAGCGTCTATGTGAACTCTGTAGCTGAGTGGATAAAACAGAGGTGTTTGTAGCGAAAGCCATTGAGCTTGAGTCACGGAGAGAACGACAACTCTGGGACATAAATCTGTTTATCTGGCAAGCCACTAAACAGTGCGTGAAGCGCCTCATGCATTTCACCACTAGCCACTATCCATCTCTATTCGGAATGCTTTTCTTTTCTAAGCTCTGTAAACCAAGTTTCAGTACTATTTGAGGTGCAATGTTGAATACAGCTACATCTAGATGACAGTTTTAAAGTAGTCTCAGTACATGCTTAGAACTCTTTACTTAAGAGCTATAAATATTACTTTTCGTATATTTTAACCAAATAAAGTGAATACATTCTGAATAGTGAAATTTAAATATCGTACTAAATTTAGCATTTTGGTATGGTAAGGGTGAAATTTTAACCCTGCTATTTCAGTCATATTTATCCTTCAACACACCGTATCCTAAATTGCCATAACACATTTTGGATAATAGAATTTAATTCCAGTTACACACTAAAATGATGAATGGATTACTAATATGAATTAATGAAGACACATTTTTGAATTAATTCCCTACTTACCGACAAGGATACAATATTTTTCATTCGGCATCGGTACGAGACAATTACTATTGGGTCCATGTATTGGCCTTCCTTCAAATTCCCAGTAAAATAAATTAATTGGATTGCCAGAAATCACAGCTCGTACCATTGTCGTGCCTTTAAGTAGTTGGCCAAGCTTGAGATTGGCCATTTCAATAGTTGGAGGATCTAGAATGATAAAAATTCTTGAATAATTTCAAATGTATTTTTCAGATTAAACAAAGTCAAAACACTGCGTCATTCTACGCTAACTCTAGATACATGCATAAACATTTATTTTTCATGCCAGTCAAAATTTTAACTATGATAACACTATAAGTCAGAAAGATACAAAAACATTTATCTAACAGAACTATTGATATGTCAAGATCCCTAACTCAACTAAAATTTATGATATATTAAATTTCCATTTGATATTATTGACGAAAGAGAAGATGGCTATAGTTTTACGATGACACACGGGACAAACAATACTAATTGTATAATAATACTGATTCCCGATTGTTCTGTAGTTGTTTGTTATTTTTTATCTTCTTTCAGATACATATTGACCTTTTGAAAATTCCCTGTACTTCCCAAATTACATGTACATTATTTTAATAATGTTCTTTTGGGATAAATCCTTCTCAGTATAATCATTTGACGGAAGGATACTGCCACACTAAGTTATGCATTATTTGTGTTGTTCATCTAACACTTAATATAATGATTATGTCCAACAGAAACCATTGATTTAGTACCTATTGTGATTAATGTTTCGTCTATCAAAGTTCAGAAATATGATCGTTTTAAGTTGTAATACCACTGTTAGTTTTTTATATTTCATTTGAGCATAGAATCAAAAGTGGTAATAGTTAATCTTATAAAACTCTCTGCTGTAATTATCACTAAATATTTCACCAGCTTTTATACTACTCATTTCGATATTTAGTAAATAGAGTGAATAGAAGGAAGAAATTTCTTTTCATTCAGTTTACTATCATGTCTCATATATATTATGAAAGTAATTATTCTTCCAATTGCTCAACATTATTTTATAAACACTGTGATGCTACATAGTTGTTGCATAACAGAACTACTCAATGAGACTGATCAATTGCAGTCCTAAATAACAATGGGAAGATACAAGTAAAACAACACCAAGTGAATTTAAACTTCACCTCACTGCACAAGCACGTGGCTATCAGGACAGAGTAACTAAGAGAATAACGCGATGGTGTTTGAAGCGGACGGTCCTGGGTTCGAGTCCCGGAGTGAACATCAACTTTGCGGTGCAGGTACATCCAGCTGACGAGTCCCGAATAGGGCGAAACGCGAGTCCTGGATTTCACTACTAGCCACTATCCATCTTGCTTAAAAAGCCTGTGACTTAAGGCGATGTGGAGGCAATCCGCACAGGATGCACATATGTGAGAATCATATATATATGATGGAAAACTAATTGAAAAATATTCCTTCACTCTACTCATTCTTTTCATGATACTATCATGCTACTTATCACAAATTAGTAGCATAATTAGGTTTACATAAGTCTTGATCACAAATAACTTTCTTTGCTGTCAAAACAGATTCGATAATTACGCCTAAGTATAAAATTTTAGTTCTATAATTCCTGTTAATAATACTATGCTTACCATATTTGATGAGTGAAATATCTCTACAGTTCCAAAAAATTTTTAATAGTAAAGTTGACAGAATACTTGAAATTCGATTTTTTAACAAACATGTATAAACATACATTTATTACTTACATCTTACATCGAGCTCTATTACACGCCATGCGTTTTGTTCTAACCCATTTTGTGCTAAACATTTATAAGTTCCTTGCAAATCACGAGTTATATTTGAAATAATTAACTCATTCGGTTTAATCATGAATCCTTTAGGTAAAATATGACAAATTAAAGTAGAAAATATTTAGTTAATTTTCAAATACTCATCAATAATATAAACAGTCCTACTACAGTACATAGTTTTGTAGATTGCTGAGTTTCACTGAGATCATGAACCGAACAATGTTAGACCATCATTAAAAACCTGGAAGATGGTCGCGCAATATCGTTGATTGATTGAGGTCAGATATTACAGCTAGTACAGTTTTCTGGAGTTTAAGATTCCGTATGTGAGACCGTAGGTCCTCGGTTTGAATCCCGCTTGAGGGATCTTGGATGCGCACTGCGAAGGAGCTCCTTACTGGGACAAAAAGACCATCCAGTCCTTCCAGGGTTTTGATGGCGGTCTAAAATGGATCGGTTCATAATCTTAATGAAATTGTACTACAAATGGTAGACCGAAGATCAGCGGCTTCAGTTTTAAGCGAACAAAGAATTCTTTGTAAATGTTCCAAATTATTTGTTGAAATTAATCGAATATGTATTGGAAATTTAATTATTTGTTGATCAAAATTATTGAAAACGATACGGACTACTTATTTATGTCTTAAGAGGTACACCAATTAATCACCCATATATTTTAATCCAAAGCTAACTAAAAAGCAACTCAGAATGGAGTCCCTCTGGGGGCTACTGCCGGTCCCAAGCCCGGATAAAGGAAGAGGGTTGGGCACGGGGTTAGCGACCACATCCCGTAGAAGACTAACTCGCTAAAAAAACGTCAACCAGAAAAAATCACTCAAACTTTTTAAACTCTGCCCTGGGAGTCAGAAGGTCTTCATTTAGAAGAACTATGACGCCTCATGATGAAAGCCGAATTCCTTCGGAAGTTACGAGGCCGATGGCCCTTCTGACAACCAGAACGACCATTTATTTAGGTACATGGAATGTTCGTACAATGTGGGACACCGGGAGAGCCTTCCAAATTGCTGCAGAAGTGAGAAGATACAACCTAGAGGTACTTGGGATCAGTGAAACGCATTGGGCACAAGTTGGACAACAACGACTAACTTCAGGATAGCTCCTGTTATACTCCGGCCATGAAGAAGAAAATGCACCACATACACAAGAAGTTGCATTGATGCTGTCCAAACAAGCGCAAAATGCACTTATAGGATGGGAATCTCATGGACCAAGGATCATCAAAGCCTCCTTCAAAACAAAGAAAGAGGGCATTTCAATGAACATCATCCAATGCTATGCGCCTACCAACGACTACAATGAAGAAGCGAAAGATCAATTCTACAATAGGCTGCAGTCAATCGTCTAGAAGTGCCCAACAAAGGACCTGACCATTCTGATGGGAGATTTCAATGCCAAGGTTGGAACGGGCAACACTGGATATGAAGACATCATGGGACGATACGGACTGGAAGAAATAAACGAAAATGGTGAGAGATTTGCAAACTTATGTGCCTTCAATAAACTGGTCATAGGCGGCACCATATTTCCACATAAACGCATTCATAAAACCACATGGACTTCACCGGATCACACTACGCAAAACCAAATCGACCATATCTGCATCAACAAAAAGTTCAGGAGGACTATAGAGGACGTGAGAACCAAGAGAGGAGCTGATATGGCATCAGATCATCACTCGCTGGTCGCCAAGATTAAATTGAAACTCAAGATGCACTGGACAACGGGACGGACAATATTAAAAAAGTTCAATACAGCTTTTCTTCGGGATACTGACAAACTCAACAAATTCAAGATAGCCCTCAGCAATAAGCTTCAGGCTTTTCATGATCTACTCAATGGAGAAGGAACTACTATGGAGAGCAACTGGAAGGGGATCAAAGAAGCAACCACTTAAACCTCCCAACCGATGTTGGCCCACCAACAACTGAAGAAATCAGCATGACAGTCGGACAAATCAAGAGTGGCAAAGCAGCAGGACCAGACAATCTTCCATCAGAGGCAATAAAAGCAGATGTAGCGGTAACTGCAAGAATACTCCACGTTCTCTTCAATAAGATTTGGGATGTGGAACAAGTACCAACAAACTGGAAAGAAGGACTTCTGATCAAAATACCGAAGAAAGGCGATCTCAGCAAGTGTGATAACTACAGGGGCATCACTCTTCTCTCAATACCGGGAAAAGTCTTCAACAGGGTATTGTTAAACAGGATGAAGGACTGCATAGACGCCCAACTTTGTGACCAACAGGCAGGATTCCGTAAGGATAGATCGTGTACAGACCAAATCGCAACTCTACGGATAATTGTGGAACAATCAATTGAATGGAATTCATCACTCTACATCAACTTCATTGACTACGAAAAGGCATTTGAAAGCGTGGACAGAACAACACTATGGAAACTTCTTTGACACTACGGCGTGCCTCAGAAGATAGTCAATATCATACAGAGTTCATATGATGGATTACACTGCAAAATTGTGCATGGAGGACAGTTGACAAAGTCGTTCGAAGTGAAGACCGGTGTTAGGCAAGGTTGCTTACTCTCACCCTTTCTCTTTATCCTGGTGATCGACTGAATCATGAAGACATCAACGTCTGAAGGGAAGCGCGGGATACAATGGACATCTAGGATGCAGTTGGATGATCTAGACTTCGCAGATGATCTGGCCCTTCTATCCCAAACGCAACAACAGATGCAGGAGAAGACAAACAGTGTGGCAGCAGCCTCAGCAGCAGTAGGTCTCAATATACACAAAGGGAAAAGCAAGATTCTTCGATACAACACAGCATGCACCAATCCAATCACAATTGATGGAGACGATTTGGAAGATGTAAAAACCTTTACGTATTTGGGCAGCATCATTGATGAACAGGGTAGATCTGATGCAGATGTGAAGGCGCGGATTGGCAAGGCAAGAGCAGCATATTCACAATTGAAGAACATCTGGAACTCAAAGCAACTGTCAACCAACACCAAGGTCAGGATTTTCAATACAAGTGTCAACACAGTTCTACTGTATGGAGCGGAAACCTGGAGAATTACGAAAGCCATCATCCAGAAAATACAGGTGTTTATTAACAGTTGTCTACGCAAAATACTTCGGATCCTCACATGGAATCCTGAAGGTCAAAGGAAAAGAGGAAGACCAAAGAACACACTACGCCGAGAAATGGAAATAGACATGAGAAAAATGAACAAGAATTGGATGGAACTAGAAAAGAAGGCCCAGGACAGAGTGGGTTGTAGAATGCTGGTCGGTGGCCTATGCTCCATTAGGAGTAACAGGCGTAAGTAAGTAAGTAAGTAATATCTGACTCTTAAAAAGTGTAGACATACAATGTATAAAAACTAAAGTGAAGTTGTTTCAATTGTAAGCGATATTCGGAATTTAATCTACTGAGCATATCTATCATGAATTCGAATCATTATAAGTGTGGGATTGTATAAGAAAAGTTCCAAAAGTCTATTTTAGTGTTGCTAATTTCTATTTCAAAACTACAAATTACACTGAAATTCAAATGATTTTTTTAAAGATTCTATGGCTATTCTCCTACGTTGAATTGATTAAATACAAACACATATTATCTCATCAAATACAGTTTATCTAACATAATCCCCGAGATACGAGGTAGACATTTTGAAAAACAGGGATACTTTATACTTCGTTAGTTAGTTAGTTAGTTAGTTAGTTAGTTAGTTAGTTAGTTAGTTAGTTAGTTAGTTAGTTAGTTAGTTAGTTAGTTAGTTAGTTAGTTAGTTAGTTAGTTAGTTAGTTAGTTAGTTAGTTAGTTAGTTAGTTAGTTAGTTAGTTAGTTAGTTAGTTAGTTAGTTAGTTAGTTAGTTAGTTAGTTAGTTAGTTAGTTAGTTAGTTAGTTAGTTAGTTAGTTAGTTAGTTAGTTAGTTAGTTAGTTAGTTAGTTAGTTAGTTAGTTAGTTAGTTAGTTAGTTAGTTAGTTAGTTAGTTAGTTAGTTAGTTAGTTAGTTAGTTAGTTAGTTAGTTAGTTAGTTAGTTAGTTAGTTAGTTAGTTAGTTAGTTAGTTAGTTAGTTAGTTAGTTAGTTAGTTAGTTAGTTAGTTAGTTAGTTAGTTAGTTAGTTAGTTAGTTAGTTAGTTAGTTAGTTAGTTAGTTTTATATTATTCATGAAAAATGAATTTTTCAAATATAATGATAATCTGGACTGTATTAAACAACCAGGTCTGTCGTCAGATAGTAGTTCACTGAAAACAATGGTGTGCGGTGGCTCACTTTCGTGAATTGGTTGAAGTTAAACATTAACACCGGTCGGCTCGGCGGTCTAGAGGTTAAGCGCTTGCGCATGAGACCGATAGGTCTTTTATTCGAATCCCGCGGGACGGAATTGTAGATGCAGACTACCGAGGATTCGCACAGTAGAACAAAATGACCGTCCAGTGCTCCCAGGTTTTTCATGGTGGTCTAGCTTCAAATGACTCATGAACTCAACTATTAAATTACTATAATATCCACAAAAAGCCTCTTCTCATAATAACATATTCTGATATTTCATATTTAAATAGACAGTGGATGTGTATATGTTAATACACCATTAATTCCTTCTAATATTGATTCAGGAATAAATTGTAAATAATAAATAGATTATCAAATAAAGTAAACCATAATGTTCATAACTTTTCAAATCTCTTATTACTAAATCATTCACAAGTACATTTAGAATTAATTTATCAAATATTTAATTACTATACTATACTTCATTCATTTTAATAGACTAATGATAATTTAGTCTATATATACTGGATGAATGTCATGTTTACTAGCCTTGATGTCTGTTATTACTATGCTGCATTTCGTATCTGTTTACCAAATTATTGCTGTTAATATCATTATGCAATAGATCAGTAGAAATATTTAATTTACTATGGTAACAGAAACAGAAAAGTATGTTTCTCATATATCCATTACCTTTCAATATAAATTTCTTTCAAAACTGTTATCAATGGAAACTATAATTATTAATTTAAAGTGATTTGATTTAATCTTGTATAAAATTTATATAGAAAGAAAATAAATAGAAATTATTATATATGGTATATTAAAATGTTTATTTTACTTTTGTCATTTGCTTCATATATTCTATATTGACGTCCTTCTTTCGGTGTTAAATACCATGTAATAATAGGATCTGGTACTCCCCAAGCTTTACAATGTAAGATAATTGCTTCACCTTCATGTGCTGTTACTCTTGTGGAGCTGGAACTATTTTCAGAAATAACCGGAGGTACTATGAAAATAAAGAGTAAATGATATATTTTATTTGGTACTTATAGTTCATATGAAATATTAAAACTATATGGGAGTGTGTGTAATGAAAGTACCATGTAAATATCATTTTTGAAAACGTTGCTCAAACAAATCAGATTTATAAATTTATATACATTTCTGGATTTTAAGTAGACCTATAATAATTTTTATAAAGTAGGAACCTACCTCGGAACTGATAATAATTAATAGTCAGATAACCGAGTACTATTATATGTGATTGTATTTTGACCTTCCTGACTCAGACAAGTTGCATTTTCACATAAATTTCACCAATATGCAACATTATGAGTTCAGTTAATAAACATACGCTTATTCTAGATGTCTACAAATTCAGAGTATTGCGTTTATGATAGTTGTTATGTAGTATAAATGTTTGTAAAGTTTGATATTCGGTGATTTTAGAAATATATGAATAAAGTCCAGTCAAGAAAGTATAGTATTAACTACGCTATTTAGTAGATACAAGTACTCACAGGTCACTGGATAACCTAGGTTATATATGAAAGATGAAATATGTACGGGTCTTACTAAGTTTTAAAAGTGGTAGCGTACAGCATAACAATGAGGTATTAGAAAAACTTGAAATTTGTGTTTGTACAATGAGACCTGGATACTTATTTTCTAAAGAGGTAAAACATGGCTACTGAAATTGGTTAGCCAACACTCACTGCGACAGGAAGTTACGTAGTTTCGAACAGAGGTATCTGAATCTCGCATAGATTTAGTTGCCTTCGAAGAGAATCGTGGTGAAACTATGTTATATGAAGAGAAAGAAATTATACGATGAGTATATTTTAAGTGGTTCATCTCTTCCCTAAGGGAGTTCATCGTGTATCTCCATTTAATATGATCTCACCCATACAGGAAAGCAAATGTCAACGTTGAGCATTATCTAGTTCGTTGTAACAAATTATTGGTTTTTTCTCATATTATCAAATGCGATTTAGTTATTAAATAATTTAGTATACTGAAGCTTACCAAGTACATTGAGGTAAACACGTTGTTTATAAACCGTATGACCATTTGAATATAAGCATACATATTCACCTTCGTCTGTTCTTTGAACACGGTCAATACGAAGATCAAGTATTGTCTGATCAAATGATGACATATCCAGTATGTATCGAGTATCTGAATGAAGTCGTCTGTTATTATAAATAAGATATTCATTGGTTTTAGTTCTTTTCCATAAAAGCTGTACAAAATAGTTATGCAAATATTTGAATTACTTTATGAATTTAATCATAATTTCTAAGTAATACCTCGTTTAAGTCATCAACTGTGTTAATTGAAAGCATATTAAATAATTATTTGAAAAACTGTCCAAAAATAACTAGTATATACCCAATGGGTATTAGACAGAGAAATTAAATAGAAAACTTAAAAACTTTTATAACGTTTTTTACGGGAACCCAATAATTTAGGTACCATGTATCTCATTGAAAAACCAAGATATTGTCGGACTTTCAAGAAACGATCTCTATCAGCAATATAGAACAAGATGTCAAGTTTCAATGGATAATTTAAAATTTTATGAATTTTACGGTACTATTTTATGGTAAGCTAAAATCAAAACAGCCTGAGAACATCGAATCTCATTATATGAATATTGCTTGTTGTCTAATTGTCAAAAATCACACTATGAACTGTATGGTTCCCATTTTACAAATAAAGTGTAATCCTAATCCACTCAATATTTTTATATATAAATACTATTCATTCACTAGAGTATTTCAGCTATTCGTGTTAACAGCTTATATGCTTAATTCCAGAAGTAAATTCACATTTGCATAACTATTGTTTGTATGTAAGAAACTTTAATTTCGATTTCATTTACCTATTCGTCACATTTACCATTTTATTTGAAGTGTTATTACAAATGTGGAAAAGCATTTATACGATTATTCTTTTTATTTGTTAGGTGTTGGATAAGTGTTCTTGAATTATATATATATATATATATATATATATATATATATATATATATATATATATATATATATATATATGAATATTATTCTCTGGTTAAGTGAGAAAAAACTACTCAATTATATTAGTAGTATAAATACTGAACACATTATAATGATATTTATTTTGTAATTCATTTTTGATTAACTAAATTGAATTCCCTTGTTTATATATATATATATATATATATATATATATATATATATATATATATTCATTTAATATTGTTGAGTTGAAAGCGATCTATCAATAGTGTTTAGATTAGGAATATGTTGTGTTTTTTTATTACCATACGTTGAACATTTATTTGAATACATGGTATTATTAAGGAAGTAAATTCGTATCTTCAAAAAAGCGATCAACATATGACAGTATTATCTTAATATTTTTGTTTAGCTGACTTAAAGATTTCGATAAAATTCCAGTTAAACTAAGGGAGGCCGTTCAATGCTTTCAGGTTATCAATGGTGGTCTAAAATAGATCGATTCATGATATCATTCTAAACTCAATTATCTCCCAAATCCCTTACTGATAATTATCATGTGCTCACTAGTGACTGTCTTTTAAAGGCATTTCCTGGAGTTCTAGTGAGAAGCCGTGACTAGTGGAGCTAATCCGTGTCAGGTAGAGACAGGTATCTACCTCAGATAATGGAAGATGGTCGTGCAATTTTATGGATTAATTGAACTCAGACATTAACACCGTTGGATGCCGGCCGGCTCAGCCGTCTAGAGATTAAGCGTCCGTGAGCTATACCGAAGGTCTTGGATTCGTACCTCGTTTGCGGGATCCTGGATGCCACATTGCGGAAGAGTCCCATACTAGAAGAGAACGGCCGTTCAGTACTTTTAAGTTTCCAATGGTGATCTAACATCGACCCATTCATGATATCAATCTAAGCTAAACTACTTTTCTAAAAAAATTTTAGGAGCATATTCTTCTTTCATATGAATTACTAGTTAACAATCCATCAAATGTTTCATAAATGAATATGTTATTGGGACCAATCGTTTTACCTTGACAACTTAAAGCTATCTAGAATGAATCGAATTTTATGAATGACCCATAAATTTCATTTTGTCTACATTGTAGAGTGTTCATCCACGAAAGATATTTCGTTGAAGTTTAAAATAGTATACGAACATCTTATTTGGTTAGAGAGATTAATGGTCAATATATTAAATGAATAATCCTTCCGTCTGTAATTGATATATTCTATCTTTATTGACAGTTAGGTTACAATCAAAGCAATGATTCTATGAAGCAAATTAGTAAGGAAATTAAAACGGTTTTCAAGACATCCTGAAGAAAAGCCTATCTTTCTATTTCAGACAGTGTACATAATCGCACAATCTAAACCATATTGGATTCATTCTCACACAAATACATTTACGTTGTATTAGGATGTAAACGCAGGTAAATTTCTAGATTAGAGAAGCATATACCTACTACAATTTCGGGGTATATTTCAAGATACTTTACTTCTATGATCCCTAAGATACTTCGCATTTGCAAATATTCACTGTAGGGATTTCAATGATAGCATCAAAGTTATGTCATATTATTGATTAACAGTCATTTCGATCAATACTTATATATTACAATTAGAAATAAAAACATAATCATGTTAAACTGAACGGACTTACAGTGCCTTTAGTATTCTCGTCTACACCATTTTCTGTTAATAATCTTTTATCTGGACGACATGGTAGCAAAGCTGTATTATTTAATACAGCTTTCATTTTTGTGATATCATTTTGATCGGATTCAATTAAATCGCCACGTCTGTGTAATGATTGTGATTTGAAGGAATTGGAAAGTTTTGATTTATTCAGCCGTTTAACTTTTGTTGATTCAGTTATGTCATCAGACGAATTCACTTGTAGTACTATTATGAAGATGAAACAATAACAAGAAAAGAAACATTGAAAATAACTAATCAAAGGTAATTGTTGAGTGATACAAGTTCTTTCATAATTAATTAACCACTAAGTGGTGACCAACGTCATATTTGTATATTCCTTAGTGGTGACCGAGTCGTACCACGGAAGTTGTGATATGGACATTAATCTAAATGACTTAATGTTACAGGTGTCATGTCAAGATGTAAGGCGGATAGATAATATCAGCAAGAAACACTGAAATTAAGTTTTGTAGTGAATGGTTCATGTTAATAGAAAGTCCTGTCTGGTCCTCGAATTGCTTGATAGCAACGTCTCAGAACATATGTTTGGGTTACGCGTGTTTGGATCTTATTGAGAGCATCGGCTTCCTAAATATCTTAGGCCTGTCTGACGGACAACCGTCCACAATCACGAAAGTTAGGTCCAGAGTTTCTTGCCGACCAATCACTTGACACATTTTTTCAATTTAAATAACGAACTGATCTTAGATATACAACCACTGATAACCAGAAAGTACTAGACAGCTATCTTGTCCTAGTATGAGGCTTCAGATTTGGGAATCTCATCACGGACCAGAGTGAAGATTCTTGGTAAAGCGAACGAGCCAGTGTCTAATGGTTTCTAGTTGTGATCTAGCTAATGTCACTTCGTGATTTAAATTACGAAGACTCAAATATTTCTATAAACTCCCCAGTAATAATATTATTTTCAATTAAAGTTAAGCCAATATCATGAAATTTAAAATAAAAGTAACTAAGGGGCTTAGAATAAATCGATTTTAAAACAAAAAAGAAAATGCTCCTGAGAAAGGAGTGATCATATCTGAATATTATGAATTCATTTATTTTCTAGATCCTCGTTAGATACCTACAACCTAAACACGATAGCATTAGTTATTAAAACAAACGGACCTGCTCAACGTTTATTACATATTCAAAATAGTCTCAGAATTAAAGTCAGTGATGACAAAGAAGTAGATTGACAAAAAGTAATGTGTTTTTGTTCCCGAATTATAAAACATTTATAAAGCAAGATCCGCAGATACAACACAGAGAACACCAACCCAATCACACTTGATGGGGTAGCTCTCGAAGATGTGGTAATTAACTTGTTAAATAAATTGTCCATATCAAATTAATTGATAAAACCGTATCTTATTGAAGAGTAATGGTCATATAATACTGAGAATTTTTGTTAGTAATATCTTCGAAAACATCCATCAAAATGAATTATAATTATTTAAAATTTATAAGGAAGATTGGTCAATTCTTGGAAGTAATTTTGATAAGTAACCTATTATTGGCTCTACTTTTAATTAGTTCATAGACTGCTAAACATACATTCAGTGTAAGAATTTAATTTTCTACATTTCTAAACTGAACTCTTCTTAAGACACGGAACAACCTTTATCCAATTTTATCAGTTAATAACTGAAATTTTTTGCTTCATTAGGATTTTAATGGTTTCACCCCATAGAGAATCACTATTGATTATACGACTAGTTCCGCTTAAGTTAAATCTTTGTAAATACCTGCAGATAAATATATATATATATATATATATATATATATATATATATATATATATATATATATATATATATATATATATATATATATATATATATATAATCCATCAGTTACATCGTCTTCTTTTTAAAGGATAAAACTGTGCAGTTTGAAAGTGAAACACTATTCATCAGATTACTTGGTCTAGGAAAATTCAAATGATCAGATCTAAAATTTGATGCTTTTAGTTTATAAACAATATTCGATAATTTTATTGTTTGATTATATTTCCTTGAAAAAGTTTGGACTAGATCGCCAGGTGAAACGTTGGATTTACTTCAAATTTATTCGCTGAGATTTTACAAGTACAATCTTCTTTCTTAATATCTCATATCAACTCGGTGCCTAAATACTATGAAACTATTCAATTAAATTTAGACGAAATTTCTTATACGATATTATATTTCTTTCAGGACACTTAGATTAAATAATAGAATTCATGTTTTTATTTAAACCATTGACATTTAATTCCAAACGAGTATAGTTTCGTTCTTTCTATATACTAGAGATAAATATCAAACTGTATTAGGCATACATATATGTTATATGTAATTTAAATCAATTTAGGGTGTTGTCTTGATGACAGGAAATGAGCATATTACAAGAAAAACCTTAACTACAAACTAATCTTGTAATTCCAATCTAAATGATTATAATTGAACAAGTTTCTTTCCACAATTACCATATTCTAAATAGTCTGTTACATAATAATTGGCGACTGTTTAGAAAAGGTATACAAAATTCATTTAATTAAATAACTTTTCTTAAACTGGAACTTTTTATTTTAGCTAGACAATCAAGGTAATGATTAGATAACAATGTTTGTAAAATAAACAAGTCAAGAAACCTAAAACATACAATCAAGTAGTTTATTTTGGAGAAGATGAAACTATACCTATTTACTATGAATAATAAGATGACGAAGATTATCAGAACTGTGTGATATATTAGCGCATTACATTTCGAACAATCGGATCACATATATACCTGTTAAAAAACACTTACATAAATGTCCAGGAAAATAAACAGGATAGCATTTGCATATTCGACTTTAGATTGATATCATGAATAGGACGGTGTCAGACCACCATTGATAACCTGGAGGCGCTGAACGGCCCTTTCATCCTAGTATGGGACTCCTCAGCAATGCGCATCCACGATCTCGTATGTGAGACTCGAATTTAGGACCTTCAGTCTCACACGCGAACGTTTGACCTCTAGACCACTGAGCGGGATCATGCATGCGTACTGCTGACGAGTCCCATACTAAGACGGAACGGCCGCCCAGTGCTTCAAGGATATCAATGGTGGTCTAAAATTCATCAAACCACGGTCTTAGTTAAGTATAATTTATTGCACAAGAAAAAATATGTCAAACTAGTTTGGGCAGGAGTGGTTCCAGTGAGGCAAATGCAAGGCAACAACGATTGGTAAAGTTATACACCACTAATATAAACTATATGAATAACTGAAGGATATTTTTGTGCTGTCTCAAAAATCCAATTATCCATTGATTTTAAATTTCAGCTTGCGTTTTGTACAGAAGTGCGTTTGACTTTAGACCCGTTCTTTTTGCTATATGAAACTTATAATGTTCACTATTTCTACCTGGCTTAATATATTTATTCGCTGAGATTGTAGTGAAAAGCTATGATATCCGAGTTGAGGTGGATGATGCTTCATTAAAAATTAACTGAATTTAAAAATGGGTACATTTTCTTATCGGTAGTTCAGTAGTCTCGGAAATGTACTGTTCTAAGCTCAGCTCAATTTAGAGCTGTTACATCAACTTCTAAAAAGCATCAAACTAACACAAAATAGTAATTTAACAATTTTTGGTTTCCAATGGTTATCATATTCCTAGTTCGTAATCAAAACTATACATAACAATTGTTTGATCACTCATCAGCGACCAAAGTTATTTTCATCTTGTTCTTCTTTGTGCCGATTGCATTCTATTGATCAAGTTTCAAGGTAGCAACTAGTCTTGAGAACTGAATATCATGTACGATATGTAAAAATGTTAGTTTACTGAAAGTAGTCTTTTGAAAACCCTAATGAAAACACTTAAACTTGATCGATAGAATTCAATCACCACAAATATGACATTAATCACTACTCTATAATCGATTAATTAATTGTAAATACCCTAATTCTACAACAAATAAGTTGTCACCCGAATAACTTAGTGACAATATTTTAGATGGATTTGTATCCTACAAAGACAATCATTTTACTCGAAATCATCTAACACATTAAACATAAAATGAATTTTGTATACTTTAATCTATGTCAAAAAATTTTTATATAACATCTTGGTTGATTCTTAAATTCTTATTTAACTTTATACAAATGCAAATAATTCTGATATAAAACTGATAAATGTTGATTGTTCAATTCGATATATAGAAGAAAAAAAAATAACTAAACACAACTTGGAGAAAAGGGAATCAGTTGTGTGTGTGTGTGTTGTTGTTGTTTTTATATTATAGATTAGTTGATATTATTGTAATCAGAGAAATGATGTTCATCTCGTCAAATCATCTTATATAAGCTCATATTTCACACACAGTGACATAGAAACAAACACAAATTAAATTACATATAACTTTCTTCCTTTCTTTCTCCCTCCCTCCCTCTCCCTCTCTTTCTCTTTTCATCTATTATGGATTGTCATATTTTAAATTAAGATTTTTAAATCAGATTATCAACAAACAAACCAAAAAGCAAATAGGGTTAACAGTAGATAGAATATGTCAAATAAGCCAAGTAAATTTCACCGATAAAATAAAAAAATTAGTAAATAGGTAAGATTTTATCATTACACATAGTTTTCTAATTTGTACCGTAAGAATAAGTCTTTATTTAGTTATAAACAAAGGTAGCTTATATCTATGTGTATTTATGATGAATGATAAATTGATCATATAAATGACTAATATATACTTATATAGTTAAGTTATTGATTGCTTCTAGAAAACAGGACAAAATCATTGATAATACATGAATAGAATTTTATGTAATTGAGGATGGTGATCTAAAATATGCTTTTCGTGATATTTATAATTCATATCAGAAGGGTTTTGTAGATATTATATGCTCACTAGTGACTGGATTCTAGAAGTATTTCCTGGAGTTCTAGTGAGAAGCAGTGACCAGTGGAGTTCAACTGGGTCTGTTGTGAGATATCAGCTCACTGAAGACATTGGTGGATGTGTCGCTCAATTTCGTGGATTAGTTGAAGTTAGATATTAACACCGTTGGATGCCGATCGGCTCAGTGGTCTAGTGGTTAGGTGCTCGTGCACGAGACTGATAGGTCCTGGGTACAATTCTCGCTAGGCGGGATCGTGGATGCGCACTACTGAGGAGCCCCATAATAGGACAAAACGGTCGTCCAGTGCTTCTAGGTTTTTG